AGCCCCCAGGTCTGGAGGGGGCTGATGAGGAAGAGGAGAAACAGCTGGGTCCAGTGCTTGATGGGTGGAACTGCAGGAGGAGAGGAGAGCAGTGGAAATCTATGGGCCAGTCTTTGGGATGGAAGAGCCACCTCTGCTAGTGAAGCCCCAGCCTAGCTCTGGGGATAAAAGGCAGCGGGGTGGAGATGAACAGATGTGGCAGGCAACTATTCATCTTCCGGCTGGCCAGACTTGTTAGCCTGTGGTGAGAGAGAAACTTTTGGCCGGTGCTGCTGGCACTCCTAATAAAGGAATCTTTGAGTTCACTTCAGAGGGTTCGTTGTGTTTGGGGAGCTGGGTCAGAACACCTGTCCAATATTTTTTGCTGATTCTGACCTCCGTCCATTATTTTCTTAGACAGGGCTGTCCTTGTGCAGAAGCCATACAACGGCCACATGAGACTGACAGGCTTACAGTTCATTGATGCCTATGAGAATTCCAGCTCTCCTGAATTTGCTGCACTGGCAAAGAATGTAAAGAACACGGTAAGAATTGAAAGCTGCATAAGCAACGGCAGCAACGGATTGTCTGCCTTGGATATCATGGGATAGATTAAAGCAGCTTCTCGTCCCCCTGTTGATTCCAGCCGTATTGCAGTTATAATTCCCAGAATTTCCTAGCTGCAAGGAATTCTGGGAGTTAAAGTCCCAGCATATTTAAGGAAGGCTGAACTCAGCAATTTGTCCTGCATGGAAGGGTCTTCTGCTAATGTCTATCCAGTATTACAGGTAGTTCTTGCTTACCATCCATAATTGCGTCCTAAAACTCCATCGCTAAGTGACATGGTTGTAAGGCACAACATCATGTCACTGCCAACCCAGGAAGGCAGTTTCAGCAGTCCCAGTTGTTGCCATTAAGTGAATATTGCATGGTTGCAGCATCTAAGGTCAACGTGATTTCCATTTGCGACTTCCTCCTGGCTGCCCCATTGCCTTTAGTTGTTGGAAGACGGACATTGTCACAAATGGTGATTATATGATGGCAGGACACTGCAATGTTGTGATTGCAAGCCAGTTTACTGAGGACCTGAAACACGAGTGTGGAGATGCTGCAACGGTCACAACTATGAGGATCTCTCACAAGTCCTGCTTGTACAACGCCATCGTAACTTCAAATGGTCACTGAACAACTTCTTGGACGACTGGTATTGGAATAGTTCTCTAGAGTCTTGAGCAGAGAAAAGCTTTGCTAATGATCTTCTTGTCCAGCATTGTAGCAACCTCTGTTTTCAAATGTTTTCAAATGTTTGTTTAGTTCTGCTTTGATTCTGCATTTTAAGTCTCAGACTTCCTTGATCTTCAGGCACTGCAACAGATGGTAAACCATTATAGTAACCTGATAGGGTTCGTACATGACACAAAACATATAATGTGGTTTATTGGATTTGGGCTTAGCATGCTGACATGGATCCAGCCATCCCAATTTATAAGCCACTTTAGCATTCTGAATGACTGTAGCCCAATCCCAGAGTTTGTTTAGCAAATCCTAGCTACCACAAAGACTGTTAACAAAAGGATTGAAGATCTTGTAATAAAGCAAAGAAGGTAGAACTCCAACAGACGAATAAGTAAGGTGACAAATAATAGTACAGGATGTGAGAAAAATGAGCACCACTGGAATAGGCTGATTTTTAAGCTGAATTAAATAGAAATGTATATACTGGCATATACACATCATATACTTGTTCTCAATGCAGCCATTTTTTAAATCTTTAGCTCTTAAACATCTATGCAAAGAATTTGGATGTTGGCCCATTCCACAAAGAGTCGGTGATACTAGCATTCAGGTACGTAACTCTTGAAACTTCAGAGCAGTTTGGTTTAATGGTTATGACATCTATCTAGAAACTAGGAAACCATGAGTTCTAGTCCCTATTTAGGCATGAAAGGAGGCTGGGTACTTTGGGCCAATCACCAGGAGACTGGGAGTTCTAGTCCCACCTTAAGCATGAAAGATGGCTGAGTGAATTTGGGCCAATCATCAGGAGACTGAGTTCTAGTTTTGCCTTAGGCATGACAGCCCTAACTGGGTGAATTTGGGCCATTCACTAGGAGACTGTGAGTTCTAGTCCTGTCTTAGCCATGAAATCCAACTGGGTGACTTTGGACCAATCAATCCAACCCATCTAGGAGGGTTGTCATTGTGGGGAAAATAGGAAGAAGGCATATTAGATATGTTTTGTTGATCTTAAAGTTGCCAAGTTTGAAAAATACTTTTTTTAGACATTGAAGCCATTGATCATAGTAGAATTTTCTAATGAAAGACATCTTGTTTTTTGCAACCCTAATTATTTAGGTTGGGTTCTAACCTATCTCTCTTTTTTCCCTTCCCACACAGTGAGGGCAGTGTGATTGCTTACTTCATGTCCACGTTCAGTGTTCCTAAACACAAGTTGGATGCTCTTGATAACGCCATAGCAAATTTCCGTGGTTTAAATCTAGCTGGGTCAGGAAAACTGCGGAAGCAAGAATTTCAAGTGGAGTCTCTCACTGCTTTTCGTAAGTCTCTCTTTCTTTTTGTTCTCCTCTTCCCACATGAAATTCCCTCATCTGCCTAGCTCGGTGGAGTATTTACACTAGTCACCAGGGAAGGTTGAACTTTGGGATGTGTCAAAGCAAAGAAAAGGTTTTAAAAGACAACATTACTAGAAAATCTAGCAGAATCAATCTGATACTCACAAATGAAGGTGAATATATGTATCCCAGAATAAGGTTGCAGGATCCAATCTGGGTTGGTCACTGGGACAAGAAGTTGTATCTTCTGAGTTGTGCTGGAGCCCATCCTGAGGGAACTTATCTCTACCAGAATGTGGTATCTAATCTAATACTCCCACTTCTAATGTCTCAGCAATCTGGAGAATTGAAACTCAACTATTTTTTAAAAAATTATGCATAAGTATAGTTGGACCTGAGTCAGTGGTGGGATTCAGCCACTTCACACCACTTCAGGAGAATCGGTTGTTAACTTTCTGAGCAGTTTGGTGAACTGGTTGTTGGAAGAAATCATTAGGGCAGAGAAGCAGTTGTTAAATTATTTGAATCCCACCACTGACCTGAGTGGATGAGGAATGGTCAGAAAATGGTGAAAGAGGTAAATGGTAAAATCTCTTTCATGGTAAAAGAGATTTCTAAGAATCAGTCTGGGGGGCCAACACTATCATGAGGAAGGGAAAGGATTGGGGATTTGGCAATTGGTACCCCGAAGCAAGGGATCAGGGTCATAAGAAGAAATATATATATATAAATTTGTCTTCAGACTTCAAGACATTTTTGACTAGCTCATTTATTAGACTGACGTCATCTATTAAAGACATCAATGTCTGTTAATGGAAAGGAACCTCGGATGATTTTTTTCTAGGAAAGTCCCACAATCCGGATATTGATCGCATTTAGCCCAATCTAAAGTATCCATTTCTATGAAAAGATTTGGCTGGATTCCTCCCAAAACAATTTTTGTGTGGGTGATTTCTTTTCTATGAATTCAGGTCATCTGCGATTGTCCTATGTTGAAGGTATAAAGTTAAACTCCTCGTTATAAAAGTTTTGTCTTTTTAATTTGTAGCTTCTGATGAGGATATCGTTAAAGCAACCCGAGACAGTAAGTAAAATTTGGTTTTTTTGTTTTGTGGTTGTTTTTAATTACAGTCATAATAAATTATGGGATCTTTGAATAATTGGAGATTGTGTGGGAGTAGAATGGAATATTGCTATCTGGAGGAAAAAAAACATATTGAAGCTGCAATCCTGTCATCTCTTATGTGGGATAAAGGCTCTTGAATTCATTTGAACATAGAAATAGAACAACAGAGTTGGCAGGGATGTAGTCCAACCCCTGCTCCAGTAGGAGACTCTATACCATTTCAAACAAATGGCTGTCCAATCTCTTGAAAGCCTCCAGTGATGGGGCACCCATAACTTCTGGAGGCCCTGATTGATTGTTTTCACCGTTAGGAAATTTCTCCTTAGTTTTAGGTTACTTTTTTCCTTGGTTAATTTCCATCTTAGGGTTACTTAGAATAACTTTATTGTCACTTTAAACGTACAATAATCAGCATACATTAAAAATGAAATTTCGTTGCGTACAGCTCTCTGCTAAATAGACAAACATTCAAAAAGTTATCACAAGATGTGAACAAAAGCATTGTGACTAGAACTAAAACAGATGGAAAAAGGACTGAGATGGAAGAATTACTTAAAATATTTCCTTGAATCTGGACACATTAGAAGCGCCGATAAAGGAGAATATTTGTAGATCAGGGTTGAATTGAGGGCCTCTTGGTGCTCTCTGATCGTGCTTGTCTCAGGACACAGATATTTCTGCTCTCTGCTCTTCCATGAAGAGCGCAATGTTAGTACTGTATCTCAGGAAGGTTTTTTTCCTTTTTTCTTTCATTTTGTGGCCTGGTTCTTAGCAAACAAAACATATATCTCCATGCTGTCAACAGTTTAGAAGAATGTGTACGCCCTTCCCTTTGTGAGGTGTCTGCTGCTAAAACTGTTGTCAAGATTTAACAGCCATATTCATTATACATTCATTATACATTGTCATCTCTCCAAGGAATATATAGCTTTTCACCCAACCAGCCAAGGAACATGAAATTTTGTCTAGGCAGGCCTTAAAAAATCACTTCGAGTACATATTCCTTGCTTTGTTTATTTGTTATAACCACTCAGTAATTGCAATACTTGGTATGGTGTACAAATTCATTAAAAGTCATCATTGAAAAGCTGTTTGGCTGTATTAAAAAAATTCAAAATAGATAATGACGCAATTAACAAGGTAAAGTGTTATGATAACAGTAAGGTGATAAATAGAAAATGGTAACAAAGAGGATGATCAAAGAAAATTAGAAGTTCTACAACCATGTGACGCTGGTTATTATTGGTTGTTGTTGTTGTTTTTAAAGAGTGGTAAACTAAAACACTCTTAACTTGGAAGCACAATTTATTCAAAATGTGTTGGAGACGTGGTGGCACAGTGGTTAGAATTCAGTATTGCCGGTTAACTCTGCCCATAGCCAGGAAGTTCTCTCCTAAGTGGCTCAAGGTTGATTCAGGTGGGTAAAATGAGGACCCAGATTGTTGGGGGCAATATGCTACTCTGTAAACCGCTTAGAGAGGGCTGCAAAGCACTATAAAGCGGTATATAGGTCTAAGTGCTATTGCTATTTTCCTTCTTCCCTCCCTCCCTCCCCCCTTCCTTCCTTCCCAGTGTTTAGAATTCAATATTACAGACTAACTCTGCCCACAGCAGCAGTTCGAGTCTCACCAACTCAAGGTTGACTGATCCTTCCGAGGTCGGTAAAATGAGGACCCAGATTATTGGGAGCAATATGCTACTCTGTAAACTGCTTAGAGAGGGCTGTGAAGTGGTATATAAGTCTAAATGCTATTGCCATTTTCCTTCTTCCCTCCCTCCCTCCCTCCCTTCCTTCCCAGTGTTTAGAATTCAGTATTGCTGACTCAACCATTTAGAGAGGGCTGTAAAGCAGTATATAAGTCTAAGTGCTATTGCTAAGTGCTGTCGTCCATCTCTTACATCTTTGGGATCCTTCCAGTGTTAATTTGCCCGTCTGAATTCCTTTACTGAATGAGAGATGCCTTCTTGCTATCCTCTTGGAGAACTTTCTCTTCTGGTGTTGTTTCTCTCACCTGACTAGACAGCTGCAAATATGCGTTGCACGCCAAAGAAGGGAAGGTGACCAGCTTTACCACGCCAGGATTCCCAAACAGCCATTACCCACCCAACATGCGCTGCTTCTGGGCGCTGAGAGCGGATGCCAACATGGTCATTAGCCTAACCTTCACTACGTTTGAAATCGAGCCATGCCACCTAGGAGAGGACTTTGTCAAGGTGTACAACTCATTGAGCCCAGTGGAAGAACGCTCGTTGATGAAGTAAGTCCATTGGCTGCTCTCATGGGAAGAAATATAGATGGGCTGCTGGGGGCATCATTGGCAGGAGCCTGAGGTAGACTTCAGTTTTTGTGCCTTCTTCTGGGTTGCACTGTTACTGATACCTACTCTGATAGGGAAGGAGATTGCCAAATATGCATTGCTTAGTCACTAATCGTCCTTCCTTCTCTTTCTCCCCCAACTTCCTCCTTCACCTTCTTCCTTCCCTTCCTTCCTTCCTTCCTTCCTTCCTTCCTTCCTTCCTTCCTTCCTTCCTTCCTTCCTTCCTTCCTTCCTTCCTTCCTTCCTTCCTTCCTTCCTACTTTCCTTCCTTCCTTCCTTCCTTCCTTCCTTCCTTCCTTCCTTCCTTCCTTCCTTCCTTCCTTCCTTCCTTCCTTTCCTTCCTTTCCTTCCTTCCTCCCTCCCTCCCTCCCTCCCTCCCTTTTCCTTCTTTCCTTCCTAGGCTGTGCGGGAGCTTTGACATTTCATACAACCTGACATTCATCTCCTCTCAAAACGTCCTCCTAGTTATGTTAAGTACAGATGCAAGAGGAAGATTTCCTGGGTTCGAAGCAGAATTTTTCCAGATGCCAAAGATGACATGTAAGAACATCATTCTTTCTATTTTGGGGTGATACTAGGAGATCATGGGTTGGCAGGATGTGGGCCTGACAACAAATTCAGTACTGTTGCTCCTTTTCTTGACAGTTTTCTCCTTAAGAGAGAGGGAAGGAGACCTGAGAAAGATATGAGCCAGAAGCCCAAGAAAAAAAAGATGAATCTTAGCAGCCATTAACACACTATTAAGCCATTCATGCAGAAAAATAGTCTGCTTCTAATTAAGTAAAGGATCCAGTCTAGTAGAAGATAAAGATGAGTGGAAAATGAATAAGCGAGAGAGGGAGAAAATCTCGAGGATAATAAGGCACTAGGGGCACAGTTATTTTTCCCTCACTCAGGAGATCCCCTTCCCCCACACACTTCCGGATACTCTTATAACACATCCTAATGAGAACTGGGCTGAAATTGGATGGGGTTAAGCTGATGGACAGGTGTTGTACAGGTAACCATAATTGGTCTCCTGGGTTATAGCCATGCTTTTGAACCAGGCCCTTAGCAATTGACGTCATCTTATTAATGGCCGTTCTGCACAAATGCCTTTCTTCCGGCCACCAATAAGGTTCGTAATAATTCTGTTTTCTCTCTCCACACCTGTTCCTCCCCTCCTGCCGCCCCGATTGCAGCTTGCGGTGGAGTTTTGAAGGGCGTATCAGGGAACTTTACCACGCCATATTATCCAGCCTTCTATCCTCCAAATCTGGACTGCATATGGAATATAGAGGTAAGGATTTCAGAGTACTGATTCTCTTTTACTTTTGGAGCCTTGCAGCATAGACTAAGGGAGAGCATTTGTAACCTGCAGATCCGGCTAACTGTCAAGGTGTTAAATAAGAGTTGAAAGGCCTTTTCTGGGATGTATTCTTAAGTGTCTGAAAACAAAGCAAAAAAAAAAAAAATCATGTCAACTCAACAATGAAGAGTGTGGCGGAGATCCAAACCTTCCTTTCTTTTTTATCACTACTATTTTAATAAGTGCATTTCTAGCCCTCAACTTGGAGTGGTGCAGTGGCCTAGAGGTAGAGCTCTTGCCTCATGATCAGGGGGCTATGAGTTCGATCTTAGGTAAGGGTAAATAATTCTCTCCCTTATAATGAGTAATTATCTGCTGCGAACTCTGCATTGGTGACAGGAAGGGCATGTGGCCAGTAAACGCTCTGCTCCTTTCAGTTGCCCTGACTACTCCAATGTAAGGGATTATGGCAGTGATGGCGAACCTTTTTGTTGTGGTGTGCCAAGAGTGTGCGCGCCGGCACCCACAATTCCATGCGCCCCCCTGTGCATGCACACGCAACCCCCGCCCCCTTTCCTGCACCGTGCATACGTGCGCCTCCCAGCTGATTTTCGGCTTGTTTTAGGCCTTTTTTGCCCTGCTGGAGGCTCGAAGGAAGCCTCTGTACCCTCGGGAGGCCGAAAAACAGGCCTTTTGGAAATACAGGAAGTGCCCGTTTTCAGCCTCCAGAGGGCGTCTGGAGCCCAGGGGAGGCTGTTTTCGCCCTCCCGGGGGCTTGAGGGAATCCTCTGGAGCCTCGGAAGGCTGAAAATGGGCCCGTTTTGCCACTTCCGGTATTTCCGAAAGGCCCGTTTTTCGGCCTCCCGAGGCTGCAGAGGCTTCCCTCGAGCCTCCAGGAGGGCGAAAAAGGCCTCAAACAGGCCCAAAATCAGCTGGGAGGCGTGTGCATGCTCCATGCAGGTAAGTTTGGCTGAGGCTCGCGTGCCCGTACAAATGGCTCTGCGAGCCACCTGTGGCACTCGTGCCGTGGGTTCGCCATCATGAGATTATGGGGTCATTAAAAGACACACACACACACACACACACACACACACACACACACACACACAAATTCTAGCCCTCAACTTGATTTTACATGGCTTTTTTTAAAAAAAGAATCCATGATAATAAAGCAAGGGAATCATTGGCAGGGTCCACTCATGATGCACTACTAAACCATAATATGGTTTGTTGGGTTTAGGTTTCATATGCTGTATGAACTGATCTCAACTGGCTTAGTCAACAAACATAGCCAAACAAAACCATGATTTAATGCCGCAGGTAACCCCAACTGAGTTGCGCGTATGTGGATTCACATTCAACATTTTTATTTGTTTACTGCATCTATGCCGCACTCTTCCTTTTGAAATTAATGTAGTTCAGATGATGGTATCTCCTAATTTGTTATCCAGTGTACCTTGAACCAATGTAGGTTTAGAATGACCAGGTCATAGTCATCCAAGGAGCTCTTAGTTGACCATCTTGTCCAGACCCTAAACTATTGTCCTATATTGGCTCTGTAGCATAATGGTTCCAGGAATTGAGTCTTCCTCTTCTCACACGGAAACATCAATGGGCTCAAGTTCTATTTTCAGATTTCACGTAGACACATGGATGTCCTTTATGACAAATAGAGTGATCCAGGGTGATCTAGATCTGGGGTGTCAAACTCAAGGCTTAAGTGCTTAACTCTGGCCCACAGGGCCGGCCTGGAAGTAGTAAAGGACTGGCCCGTGGTGTCTCTGGCAGCCAAAACGGAATGCACTCAGGTCCTCCCAAGCCCCATATTGGCCGACAAAGTGCTGCGGGAGGCCATCCAGGCCAAAAACGGTGCATAGGGGGGAATGCACACAGCCCCACCATACCCCATTTTGGCCAGCAGAGGTTGCTGCAGTAGGTGCCAGTCCTGTCTCCCCCCCCGCCCCCCAACTGGCCTAAAGAGGAGAACTACAATACTGATCCGGCCCTCGAAAAATCCAGTTTGACACCCCTGATCAAGATTACTAGAATTCTTCTTATGTTCAGTTCGGCAACAGGGTTATTTAAACCATTCCTAGTTGCCCAATGCCATGCATTTATCTTCCTTGGATTAAAAATTGTTCATGGTGACATTTCTACTCCAGGAATCAAAATGCAGGATAACCTCAGGACCATGCTTCCATGGAAAAAAAAGCAGCAATATTGATATAAATACACAAAGCAGGTTTGTTAAAGCAATAGTCTTCCCTCTATGGATGTATGAGTGTGAGACTTGGACACTGAGAATGGCTGATTGAAGAAGTAGTGACGTCTTTGAACTGTGGTGCTATTGTAAAGGGTTGCATATACCATGGACAGCCAGAGCAACCAACAGAGAGATGCTGAGTTTTATAAAACTAGACACATCACTAGAAGCCAAAAATCACAAGACTACGTCTGATTTACTTTGGCTATGTCATGTGTGCAAATGCACTGGAGAAGTCAATGAGGCTAGGAACGGTTAGTGGAGCAAGAAGAAGGGGCAAGCCAAGAACACACTGGCTTGATCCCATCAAATCTGATACAATGATGAACACCCAACTAAAGTTGTGATTGACGGGGTAGCATGGAGTCAGTAAGAGTTGGACACAACTGAATGGTTAAATCAACAACAACAGTTGCCGAAGACTTTTTAGAAAATGTTGGAAAAGACATCTAGCTTGGGAGTGGTACCAGTGTTTATTTCCTCTCATCTCTGCCCACCCCTGCCAACTTTAAATCTCATTTTCAGGTGCCTGAGGACAAAAATGTTAAGATACGCTTCAATGAATTCTACCTTGAGGATCCTGGTGATGCCTCCAACTCCTGCCCCAAAGACTATGTGGAAATCAACGGTGTCAAGTAAGAGCCGTTATTCATTTATAAACCTGTATTGCCGGTTCCTGTGTATCTGTTGCGACTGGGCAAGAAGGAAACTTGTCTTAGTCACTGGATGTCTTTAAGACCCTTCCTTGCCATCTTTTAGGATATAAATATCATAAATGAAAGGTCCTTGCTTGATTAAAAAAAACAAAAACAAATATTTCTCTAGTACTGTCAGATGATCTGATTAGCTTTCCATATTGAAAGGAAAGAATGAGAAGACCTTGTCATTTTATTGCATGTGTTTTGTGTGTATGTGTGTGTGTGAGAGAGAGAGAGAGAGAGAAAGAGAGCTAGAGAGAGAAAGAGACAGAGAGAAAGAGAGAGAGCTAGAGAGAGAAAGAGAAAGAGCGCTAGAGAGAGAGAGAGAGAGAGAGCTAGAGAAGGAGAGAGCTAGAGAGAGAAAGAAAGAGACACAGAGAAAGAGAGAGTTAGAGAAAGAGAAAGAGAGAGAGAAAGAGAGAGAGAGAGAAAGAGAGCTAGAGAGAGAAAGAGAAAAAGAGAAAGAGAAAGAGAGAGCTAGAAAGAGAAAGAGCGCTAGAGAGAGAGAGAAAGAGCTAGAGAAAGAGAGAGAGACACAGAGAGAGACAGAGAAAGAGAGCTAGAGAGAGAGAGCTAGAGAGAGAGAGAAAGAGACAGAGAGAAAGAGAGAGCTAGAGAAAGAGAAAGAGAGAGAGAGCTAGAGAGAGAGAGAAAGAGACAGAGAGAGAGATCTTATGTATTCATTGATGCATCACATCATGAATGAATGAATGAATGAATGAATGGCCGGCCTCCAGTTGATTTTTTTTTCTTCTTGTGGTCCTTTAGATATTGTCAGCCCAGCAAGGGATTTGTGGTAATGAGTAAAACCAACAGAATTACAGTTCGTTTCCACTCAGATAATTCACATGTGGACAATGGCTTCTCGGCTGAGTATTTGTCCTTTGACTCCAATGACCGTAAGTGGAGATGTCAAATGTGAGATTAATCGGGGAGGGAGATGATAGGACGAGTCACCTTCTCAGTCAGGAAGGGTTGAAACTTTGGAGCTTTTCGATAGAGAAGTCCTCTATGGGAGGACTTGATATGTAGTATCCTATAGAGCAGCGGTTTCTAACCATTTTGGGACCATGGACCAGCAGTGGTGGTGGGGTGAGGTGGGGATGGGATCAAAGGTGGTATTCAGCTGGTTTGGACTGGTTCTGGAGAACCGATAGTGGAAATTTTGTGTAGTTTGGAGAACCGGCAAATCCCACCTCTGACTGGCCCCGCCAACCCCATCTATTCTCTGCCTCCCAAGTCCCAGCTGATTGGCTGGGTCTTCTTTTGTTGCCCTGCATAGGAGAACAGAGCTGGAAAGCAGGTTAGTGGGTGGGGAGGGAATGGAGATTTTGCCGTATTCCTTCCCCTGCCACACCCACCAAGCCATGGTAGTAAACCCACAGAACTGGTAGTAAAAATTTTTTGAATCCCACCACTGGACTCGGGATGGTTGCCTAATCCCATGCATACACAAATAAAACTTCACCATGCTCACCCACCACATGTGTAGCCTGGTTCCCAAGGGGCTGCTGACCTATATCGGTCCGTGGCCCAGGGGTTGGGGACCCCTGCTATAGAGAATGTGGGGAACGGTATAAGAAGAACATTGAGGCTTCCAGTGATAAGTACATTGAGATTTGGAATGACAGTAAGTAAACTGAATTTTAGAATTTTCTGTCTTTTCCCTCTTCTCATATTTAGGCACTCGCTGCCCAACAACTAATTCAAAGTTCAGTGGCGAGGTTTATTATTTGCATAAGATCTCAGTTTCATCCCTGTCCAACTTCTGTCACAGAGACCGTAGGGACTTTTTTCCAAGTTTTAGTAGACGGATGAAATAGACAAGTAACCCATCAGTTATGAATCGGCTCTTGTCACTTCAGCATGATTTGTAGCACCAGGTTCTACATCAGATAAACACTGGATTTATTCCATAATGAAACAGCATCTAGAATCCTTCCGAGGATCTGGAATCGCTCTGAGAAGAAGGAGAGATTGACAATCAAGAACATTAAATTTCTAGATGAACAATCCCCAAACTTGTGCTGAAATGACCAATACTATCAAATAATATACTGACACATTCCTTAATTATTCCTTTGGGGTATGCCCTCTGAAGACATACAGTAGATTAAATTATGTCCATGCTTGTCCTGATATCAGGGTTTTATTCCATGTAGAATAATTTCTGGAGATTAAGAGAGTTTTTTCAAGGGTAAAGGTTCCCCTCGCACATATGTGTTAGTCGTTTCTGACTCTAAGGGGCGGTGCTCATCTCCATTACAAAGCCAAAGAGCCACCGCTGTCCGAAGACGTCTCCCTGGTCATGTGGCTGGCATGACTGAATTCTGAAGGCTCATGGAACGTTGTGACTTTCCCACCAAAGGGGTCCCTATTTTTCCACTTGCATTTTTACATGCTTTTGAACTGCTTGGTTGGCAGAAGCTGGGACAAGTAACGGGAGCTCACTCCGTTACGCGGTGCTAGGGATTCGAACCGCTGAACTGCCAACCTTTTTGATTGACTTAAGACTTTCAGGACTAAACGCTATGGCAAAATAAGACTTTCCCCAGAGCAGAATTGCAAATATACCATCCAGAATGGCAACGGAAGACGTTGATGCTTTCACCTATGTAGAATATCGATCTATTTATATGTTTTCTCTCCCTGTCCTCTTTGTTGACTTGTAGCTTGCCCAGGGAAATTCACCTGCAAAAGTGGCCGCTGCATCAAAAAAGAACTGCGCTGTGATGGGTGGTTTGACTGTCCAGATGCCAGTGATGAGAGAAATTGCAGTAAGTTCTCCTTTTTAGCTCTGTTTGGTGGTATGGATGATGTTCTTAAGGCTTGTTTACTTTTTTTTCAGTGGGCTACACCGCCCACAAGTATCCAAAGCTCTGTTGGTGGCCTTTCCATATAACTGCACTGTTTGTGGTCTTCTTCTTCAGATTGCACTAAGAATCAATTCCGATGCCATAATAATTGGTGCAAGCCAAAATACTGGCTTTGTGATACGGTGGATGACTGCGGGGACAACAGTGACGAACTGCAGTGCGGTGAGTTGTTTTTATGAGATGGAGAACTCTAGTGCAGGGAGAACCGAGTTCACTCTTTGGACCACTCTTAGTATGAACTAGGAGTTCAAAACTCTTAGTTGTCCAGATGGGGTTTCTTAACTGAACCGTCATTAGAAGTTTTGCACAGTTTTGTATTAAAACATGAACTGGATTTACACAGTTTAAGAAGCTCAAAGCTGGTAAGGGTTGAGGGAAGATGGAAGGGCCTTGAGGGATGGAAGAGCCATTATCATGGCAATGGTATCGCTCCAAGGATAACTGGGCCCCCATGAAAGTGTAAAAATTAGACTTTAAACTTATTTCTCATCTTGGGTGAGTTCCTCCTCATCTTTCAAGCTCAGCTAATGTCTTATCTTGACCTTATCTGAGAAATAAGCTATAAAACAAATTATTTTACTTTATATTTTATTTCTTATTTGTTTATTAAAGTTTTATGTTTTAATTAGTTGTGTTTTATCATTTTTAAAAAATACTTTATGCGTCTTTTAAGTTTTTGATTGAGAACTGCCAGAGTTGGCTGAAAAAATGGATGACTATATAAATGTTTTCAACGGTCAATAATATGGTCAGATAAAAGAAGACTGAGTCCAGGGCAGAAAGATAACCTAAAAAAAAACATTTCAGACAAGACCCTTCCAAGTTGTCACAAAAAGAAGAGGTGGGAGTGATGATGTGCATTTAGACTTGCCAGCTCAGTGCTACAGCTTTATAGTAATAAAACTGACCTACATGACATTGGATTCCTAGTCTGACCTAACTCAAAAGGTTGACAACAAACTCTGTTTTCTGTTATTATGATGGTCTGGACCCCAATTTTACGCGTGAGGGCCTTTTGATGGAATCTTGCAAAAGTCAGTTCCAGTGTTGAAGCAAAGCTAGCAAGACAGAGAGTGGCGGGTGGGAATGGCTTCTTCTCTAGCGGTGAAAACTTGCAATTTCTCTTCTCCTTCTCAGAATGTCCTCCTGACAGCTTCAAGTGCAGTGACGGAAATTGCATCCCAATGCAGCAGAAATGCGACGGGAAAGCAGACTGCAAAGATGGCAGTGACGAGGGAGAGTGTCGCTCCGGTAAAAGCTCTGGAGTGGTGATAAATGCTGGCCAAGGGGCAGGTGGGGAAGCTGTGGAAATTGTGGTTTGTAAGCAGGGAAGATTTGGGTATGTCTAGTTTGATGAAGCTGGAATTGGGTATGTCTAGCTTGATGAAAAGAAGGACTTAGGGTGACATGAGAGCAGTGTTCCGATATCTCAGGGGCTGCCCCAAAGAAGAGGAAGTCAAGCTATTCTCCAAAGTACCAGAGGGCAGGACAAGAAGCAATGGGTGGAAGGAGACAAGCAACCTAGAACTAAGGAGAAATTGCCTGACAGTGAGAACAATTAACCCGTGGAACAACTTGCCTCCAGAAGTTATGGGTGCTCCATCACTGGAAGTTTTTAAGAAGAGATTGGATAACCATTTGTCTGAAATGGTGTATGGTGTATGTGTGTATGTGTGTGCACCTGACAAATATACTTTATGTGTGTTTGGTGTGTGTGTATGTGTGTGTGGTGTGTATATGTGTGTGGTGTGTATATGTGTGTGGTGTGTGTGTGTCTTTGTGTGCGTGTGGTGTGTATATGTATGTGGTGTGTGTGTGTCTTTGTGTGTGATGTGTGTGTGTGTGTGTGGTGTGTGTGTGTGTGTGTGCCACCTGACAAATATGCTCTGTGTGTGTCTATATATGTGTGTGTTCTGCAGGGTATTGTGTAATTTTTATTTAAAAATTACTCTCATGGAGGTAGACATCCTTTTCCACAAGAGAGAGAAGGCATTCCCCAAAAATGGTGTGTTTTACAGGTAGTCCTTGACTTACAACATTTTGTTTAAGTGACCGTTCAAAGTTACAACGGCACTGACAAAAGGGACTTATGACCGCAGACACAGGATCAAAATTCAGATGCTTGGCAACTGACTCACATTTATGACGCGTCCTGGGGTCACGTGGTCCCCTTTTACTATCTCCCCTTCTGACAAGCCAAGTCAAGTGGGAAGCCAGATCCACTTAAGAACCGTGTTACTCACTTAACAATGGCTGTGATTCACTCAATTGTGGTTGAAATTCGAAGATTATCTAGGCTTCCCAGAAAGGAAGCATCCAGGTTATCCATGGTGTTGCAATGCTGTGGGAAAGATTCAAATAGTTCCAGACTCCATTTTGTGTTCCTAGCCTGGAGAGGGACACCTGCCATCTTCCTTGACTAAACACGGTTGCCCCCACAATCATCTGGGGTCCTCTTCTTCTGACCTTACATTTCTCTCTCTCTCTCTCTCTGCTTTACTCAAAGCGGCCACCGTTTCCTGTCAAGCATATACCTACAAATGCCGCAACAATATGTGTGTGGACAAGAGGAACCCGGAATGTGATGGAACGGCAGACTGCAGCGACAATTCAGATGAAGAGAATTGCAGTGAGTTCTGATTATTCCGAGAAAGTGGTAATCTGAGAAGTGAATAAATTCACAAACGTAGCAATCTTGGACCATTAAGCTAGCTTGCATGAAAGGGTTGGAAACTTTGATGATGATGATCACTATTACTATTATTGTTTGCACTTGGTGGTTTTTGAGTTGAGTAAGTAGGGCAACCAATTGGGTCTAGTTGGCCACGTTTGTTCTTTCTCTCCTACCTGGAGAGCACAGAGTAGGTGCTGTGAATATTATAACATTATTCTCGATCTGTTTTCGGAGCAGTTTGATGGGCAGGATGGTCCTCCTTAGCCAGAGGCACTTATTCCTCCGTTATGTGGAAAACTGACTCTGATTTGGGGAGATTGGGAGTTACTTCCATCCCAACGTCTTCCAAATATTTTCACAACCCTTAATGCAGAAAGGAGTAGGTGGAAATAAGAGTTCAGTTCTTGCCGTGTTGTTAAAGAGGTGACAGAATTTGGGGAAGTACTGACTTGTTGGGGGTTGGGTGGGGCACCAACTTTACACAAAGGATTGTGGGGAACTTGTTGAATGTTCCAAAGATGCTTTTCCAAATGGCAACTGGACTTTCTTCTTCTTGTTGTTTTCCTTGAAAATGTTTCGCTTCTCATCCAAGAAGCTTCTTCGATTTCATGAAGAACTGAACTGAAAAAGCTTGGATGAGAAGCGAAACATTTTCAAGGAAGGAAAAAAAAAAAACCGTCCAAGAAAGTCCAGTTGCCTTTTGGAAAAGCATCTTTGGGACAACCATGGCTGAATGGTCTTGTTGGATGTCTTGCCTATTGACCAAACATCTCTCTGAACTGAGGTGACCAATTGAAGTGAAAGCTTATTTTGGGTTTGTGTCTGAATTTTGTTCCTTTTAGACTGTGGCCTCCGTGAGTTTAGCAAGCAGTCCCGGATTGTGGGTGGAATGGACTCACATTTGGGCGAATGGCCCTGGCAGGTCAGCCTGCATGTCCAGAGCGAGGGTCACGTCTGTGGGGCTTCCTTGATATCCAACAAGTGGCTGATCACAGCTGCCCATTGCTTTGTTACAAAGAACTACATCACGTAGGTAGAGGTTTTTTAATCATGCTTCAGAAGTTAATTGTGTTTTTTTAAATACTTTATTGAATGTTTAAAGTAAAAGATCCAGGAGAGTGAGGGACTCACCTTGTCTGGGATAATGTCAACTGTGCCTCCATTCAAAATCCAAGAAAGAAAACCTTAGACTCCATTAAAATAGAGAAAAGTACTTTTACTGGATTTGAAGTGATAGCAACGAAAGGAAAGCAAGATCTGAGGCAAATAGGCATGGAAATTACACATTGAAAGTTATCCCAAGTCCCCTCCCCCAGTAGTTCAAACTGGACATCCAATCTGAGGCGTGTATATTATCATGTGGGGTACATCTTCAGGTGGCATTTCACACATCTGGTATGCCAAGACGGTTGACCTTGGCCTAGAAAAGATAAGTGGATGCAGTTGCACAGAAAGCAGGAAAACATCCCATCTTTTTCAGTTCACACAACTTCGTCCTCCAACATCAAATTATCCCTCCTCCAGTTTCCATGGCAGCTGGCAAGAGTCAAGCAGTAAAAGATGTTAGGAAAAATTCTTGGAGGCTGACGGATAATTTCAGAGATCCTAGTAATAGATCCATTGCAAGCAAGAAATCCGAGGCAGGTGGATTCTTCAAAGAATAGCTTTATTGGAATATCATATTGGCATATATCTGGTGAGAACCGACTCTGAGAGGCCCCTTGCTTTTCACCTAAGTAAAAATAAAAGTTTTTTTCCATCAATCCCAAACAATCCGTCCCATGGCCCAATCAAGGCAGTGTCCACTGGTCTGGTGACATCACTCCTCCTTCCTCCAGCCAGGTGTAAGAACGTCCTTGGTTCCCAAGAGAAAATATTTTGTTTTGACTACACAACCCCAGCTATCTCTTAATTTCCCCCTCCCTATCCCTCGCTGCAGTGTGGCACCACTGAAGCTCCAAGATGGCTCTAGCCAGATCCACTTCAGGGTTGACAGGGGTAAGATGTTCCTTAGGGTGGGGATAGTAGCTGAGAAGGCCCTTCCCAAGATCCCACCATGCTAGCTTGGGGAATTCTGGGAGTTGAAGCCCACAAGTCTTAAAGGTGCCAAGATTGGAGACCCTCAAAAGACCAATGCGATATATAGCATGCCCTCCTTACTTGACTAGTTGGGAATGGGTCAATGTAATTGGGATGGGAGGGTTCTTCAAGTATCCTGACCCTATGCCATGTATCCCATTTTGGTATGAGAAAGTGGAAAACAAGGCCGGCCTTCTTATCAGAGTCAGACACTGAGGTAGATAAGCAGTAATCATCCAACCCTTGCTCAATTTCTCATGGTCCCAAGATCCATGTACAGTAGAACCTCTGGTCACGAACGCTTCTGACCATGGCCAACTCGGGTTCTGACCAAAAAAATTCACAATTTTGTTTTCCACAGCCAATTTTCCCCTTCCACACCATTCTTTTTTAGTAAGCGCCAAATTTCCAAAATTAGGTTCGGGTCACAACCAAAGTTATGGGTCAAATTATGGTCGTGACCAGAGGTTCTACTGTACTATCCAAACTCCAAGCTTTCAAACCTTATGCAAGTTGTCCTCAGCTTAGGACCTACAACTGAGCCCAACATTTCCATAGCTAAGGCTGTTACGCGACGATCTCCCCCTATCGATTTTTCTTGCCACCGTTGTTAAGTGAATCACTGCAATAGTTATGTTTGTAACACGGTTGTTAAGTGAATCTGGCTTCCCCATTGACGTTGCTTGTCAGAAGGCCACAAAAGGGGATCCAGTGACCCCGGGATCCTACAACTGTCATACATACATGTCAGTTGCCAAGTATCCATAGTTTGATCACGTGACAATGGGGATGCTGCAACTATCCTGAGTGTGAAAATAGGTCATAAGTTCTTCAGTGCTGTTGTAACTTGAAATGGTCACTAAATGGTTGTTGTAAGTCAAGGATTACCTGTATACAATTTGCCTCATGGTGTAACCGGAACAATCTGGAACTGAACACACTCAAAACCGTAGAAATGGTGGTAGACTTTAGGAGAAACCCTCCCATGCTACCACCTCTTACAATACTAGACAACACAGTATCAACAGTAGAGACCTTCAAATTTCTAGGTTCTATGATATCACGAGACCTAATATGGACACCTAACATCAAAAACATCATCAAAAAAGCACAACAAAGGATGTTCTTTTTGTTCCAACTCAGAAAGCTCAAACTGCCCAAGGAGCTGCTGATCCAGTTCTACAGAGGAATGATTGAGTCTGTCATCTGCACCTCTATAACTGTCTGGTTTGCTTCTGCAACCCAACAGGATAGACACAGACTTTAGAGAGTAATTAGGACTGCAGAAAAAACAATTACTACCATCCTGCCTTCAATCAAGGACCTGTATACTTCACAAGTCAAAAAGAGGGCTGTGAAAATATCTACAGACCCCTCACATCGCAGACATAAACTGTTTCCACTCCTACCCTCAAAACGATGCTACAGAGCACTGCACACCAGAACAACTAGACACAAGGAGAGTTTTTTCCTGAACGCCATCACTCTGCTAAACAAATAATTCCCTCAACACTATCCAACTATTTACAAAGTCTGCATTACTATTACTATTAATCTTCTCATCACTCCTTATCACCCATCCCATCCCACTTGTGACCGTATGACTGAAACTTTGTCGCTTGTATACTTATGATTTATATTGACTGTTTCTTAGTATGATTTGATTGCTTATTGTCCACCATGACTATCATTAAGTGTTGTACCTGATGATTCTCAACTCTTGAAGAATGTATCTTTTTTTTTATGTACACCGAGAACATATGCACCAAGACAAATTCCTTGTGTGTCCAATCACACTTGGCCAATAAAGAATTCTGTTCTATTCTATTCTAAAATGTTCTTGCTAGTTCTTGCCCTTGCTAACCAACATGCGCTGCTCTGCCTGCAGATATAGCGAACCCTCCCTGTGGACTGCCTACATGGGCCTTCTGGATCAACAGAACAGGTCGAATAGCCTCGTTCAGAAAAGGACGATCAAGAGAATCATCAGCCACCCGTACTTCAATGACTTCACGTATGACTTTGACATTGCTGTGATGGAGCTGGCCAGCCCTGTCACTTTTTCCAAAGAGGTCAGAGCTATCTGTTTGCCTGATGCCACCCACGAATTCCCTGTAGGAAAAACCATCTGGGTGACCGGATGGGGAAGGACTAAAGAAACAGGTGAGTGAAGGAACGGGAAGAAGAGAGGGTCTCCTTGGGGAAAGGATTAGAGGACTCGGCACCAACCTGCAGCTCATTTTGGACAAACATCCAATTTTGGTCGCCACGATGTAAAAAAGATGTTGAGACTCTAGGAAGATTCTAGAAAAGAAGAGCAACAAAGATGGTTAGGAGCCTGGAGGCTAAAACATATAAAGAACAGTTGCAGGAATTGGGCTTGGCTAGTCTAATGAAAAGAAAGACTAGGGTGACATGATAGAAGTCTTCTGATATCTCAGGGGCTCCCCCAAAGAAGAGGGAGTCAAGCTATCCTCCAAAGCACCTGATGGCAGGACAAGAAGCAATGAGTGGAAACTAATCAAGGAGAGAAGCAACCTAGAACTAAGGAAGAATTCCTGACAGTGAGAACAATTAATCAGTGGAACAACCTGCCTCCAGAAGTTTTGAATGCTCCAACACTGGAACTTTTTAAAGAAGATGTTGGAAAACCATTTGTCTGAAGTGGTGTAGGGTTTCCTGCCTAAGCAGGGGGTTGGACTAGAAGACCTCCAAGATCCCTTCCAACTCTGTTATTCTATTCTAAATGTAAATGAGTAAGTGACTCCATCTGAAAATTTTCCTAGGTGGCAAAATGCCGGAAGGTAAACATGCTTACGAGATTGCAAAACATTGTCTGCCTCTCTCTTGATTCATGAACGTAGAACATAGAATAATAAAGTTGGAAGGGACCTTGGAGGTCTTCTAGACCAACCCCTTGCTTGAGCAGGAGACACTATACCATTTCAGACCAATAGCAATAGCACTTAGACTTATATACCATTTTATAGTGCTTTCCAGCCCTCTCTAATCGGTTTACCGAGTCAGCTTATTGCCCCGAACAATTTGGGTCCTCATTTCACCCACCTCGGAAGGACGGAAGGTTGAGTCAACCCTGAGCCTGGTGGGATTCGATCTGCCAAATTGTAGGCAGCTGGCTGCAGAAGTTAGCTTGCAATACTGCACTCTAACCACTGCGCCACAGAGGCTCCGTAAATGGTTGCCCCGTCTCATTTTGAAAGGCTCCAGTGATGGAGCACCCACAACTTCTTCTTTTTTTAAAAAAATATTTTTATCATACATTTTTCGTTATTATTCATCACATTTCCAATTTTACAACAGCAGCGTACTGGCTATTACCAAGTCCTTTTTAAATATACATCATAGTATACACCCTGGTTATAACTATTATTCTTGTAGTCATACAGTATAGTCTCTTTTAAATACATAGTTTTGTACGTCATAATTATAACTATTATTTTCATAGTTGTACCATAGCACTCTATTACATTTATCACTCTATACCCTTTAAACTATATTCATGTACAGTCCGATAGTGATATTGCTTACATTGTGTGTTCTTACATATTTCTATATATCTGTATTTATTTCTGTTTTCTTAATCTTCTTTTCATTGTTAAGTGCTGATCTCTGCACCTATTATTTAACCATTTATACAATACATCCCATGTTACGTAGTATTCTTTAAGTTCCATTGTTAACCTGTCCAATTCAGCACATTCTAATAATTTTTTTATTACATTCTCATCTGTGGGTATAGTTTTATTTTTCCAATTTTGTGCATATGTGATTCCAGCTGCTGTTATTATATGTAATATTAAGTATGTGAGTCTTTTATTATATTTCCCGGGTATTACCCCAGAGCATCCACAACTTCTGAAGGCAAGGACAACTTCTGTTCCATTGATTGATTGCTCTCACCATTAGGAAATTTCTGCTTACTTTTAGGTGGCTTCTCTCCTTGGTTAGTTTCCAATCTGTCGCAATGCAAGCCAGTCATAAAGAGCAGAGGCCAAAGATGTATCAATGGAGGCTACAGAAATAAATCAACATTCTAAAACTTTTTGAAAACCCTGTTTGTTTTCACACATAACATTGTTTCTCCAAATGCCCAGAGTCCTTGGCACAGATGGTCCTCAATTTACAATCATAGTTAGGATTTGGAATGTCCATGGCTATGCAGTGCAATCATTAAATGAACCGTGGCCAATTTTATGACCTTGTTTGTATGGTTATTAAGCGAATTTGGCTTTCCCCATTGATTTTGCTTGTCAAATGGTGATCCTCTAATTCCAGGATACTGCAACTATTGCAACTACATCCTGGTTGCCAGTTTGGATTATGTGACTTCCCTAAATCTCACACAAACCTTTCTGATTTTGGGGGGACAGGTCCTGGTGCCAGAATTTTGCAGAAGGCAGAAATCCGGGTGATCAATCAGACCATGTGTGAGTCCCTGTTGCCCAATCAACTCACTGCACAAATGATGTGTGTAGGAGTCCTGACGGGAGGAATTGATGCTTGCCAGGTGAGAAGCTTTGCAATTTCTTTTGGAAATGTTCAAGCCCCTTACATGTTCTTCTGGAGACATTCAAGCCCTTTAGATGGTCTTCTGCACATGTTCAAGCTCTTTAGATGGTCTTCTGGACATGTTCAAGCTCTTTAGATGTTCTGGAGATGTTCATGCCCTTTAGATGTTCTTCTGGAGATGTTCACACCCTGAAGAACTTCAAGTCCTTTAGATGTTGCTCAATGGCAATTAAGAGGCTGCTGCAGCCACTCCATCCAGAAGACAGAGAGTTATTCAGCAGCATTGGGAGGTCTAACTGCTCCTTCACCATCCTTGTAGGCACTTGGCAACAAAGCAGCCACTGAATGTAGAGCACAGGCTGTGTTCATCCCACCTCACTCTGCTCCTCTTCTTCTATTGTTTATCTCCCTCTAGAATAGGGGCGTCCAACCTTGGCAACTTTAAGACCTGTGGACTTCAGCTTTCAGAATTCTCCAGTCAGCCATGCTGACTAGAGGATTCTGGGAGTTGAAGTCCACAAGACTTAAGGTTGCCAAGTTTGGACACTCCTGCTCTGGAAGGTCCAAGCTATAAAAGGATCCATCCAACAAACCCGGGCAACTCCTTAGAAAAACTTCCTTGAAGTAGGAAATGAGGGAAGGGAGCACCAGGGATTCTGTTCCTTGATTAACCGCTGCCTTATTTCCTTTCAGGGAGATTCTGGAGGGCCGCTTGCCAGTATAGAAGTTAACAATAGGATGTTCCTGGCTGGTATAATCAGCTGGGGAGACGGTTGCGCTCGCCGGAACAAGCCCGGCGTCTACACCCGGGTCACTAAGCTACGAACGTGGATCAAACAGAAAACAGGGTTGTAGGTGGTTCCTGCCACTAGGATTGTTCACACCTCTTGATTCCTCGTGCAGGTCGGTCAGCCTGGCCATTGAAGAAGACTTTCCCACATGATGTGAAGGGAACCCTGTCTCAGACGTTCAACCCTTCTCTCCTTTGGTTCTCACCTTTCTGGGTCTTCCAGGTGGGGAAGGTTGGTTTGAGAACAAATGACCCACCTGGATTTAATTGTACATGGACCGTTTCCACCTGGGAGAACTTCTTTCCTTCTGTCTCCTGAGATCACCTCCATGTCTTCATTTAAACCCGAAACTGAGTTTTTGACCGGCCTGGAGCCTCCGTCACAGATCCGACTTTTGCACAGGTGTGCAAGGGAAGGTTGGAACCAATTTGAGATGGGATTATACTGACTCCTCTTCTTCCCAAGTCGCCAAACAGATGACAGTGGGAAGAAAAGAAGACTACCCTGCCTGTTTAGAAAACAGATTGCAGATCTTTGGGCTTGAAGCCCTGTTCTTTTCCTTGTTGTGTCCAACACAGTGCCGTCTGTGATTAATCCTACATCCTATGACTTTTATCTTAAAATTCCTCACTAAGAGTAAGGTTGCTATCTTTGGTATCTTGGTGTGCAACTCCCCGGAACTCTTGCGGGAAGGGAATTATGACAATTTCCAGATTTGCTATGATGTGGATTGATTTAGGGCAGGGTTCCCCAAACTTGGCAACTTTAAGACTTGTGGACTTCAACTCCCAGAATTCTGGAAGTTGAAGTCCACAAGCCTTAAAGTTGCCAAGTTTGGAGACCTCTGATTTAGAGCTATAATATTGCTGCAAAATTTGGTGGACCACTAGATGGGAGCAGAGAGATTCCGAACGCTGTCTTTTGCTCACAGCCAGTCATATTCTGGATATTTGCAGCAGAAATAAGGAGCAGCTTCTTTGATTAAATTATTTTTCCCCCTCCCTATCCCCCCTGAGTGAATTTCACAATATCAGTGTGCAATGGCCTATAAAATACAACTTTGTTATGCCAACAAAGTAAGCACTGAAAATCATACTCAGTCTGCAATGTTAGAAGCAATCATACCAGATCTTGCTGTTTTTTAAGGAAATATTTCCCATCTTCAACTTCACCTCCTTTTTATAATATGCTGATCAGAGATGCAAAAACCTAGGGAAAAAACAGGAAGGGAAGGGGATGGACAGCCGGTATATTTTACACACACACCCCTGAATTTTTCCTTTCCCATCCTCATTTGTTTCCCTGTCTTTACACCATATCCGCCAGCATAATTCAGATTGAGATCCCTTCCTGATATTTTTTTGAACTACATTTCTATCCATTTTAGTCCCAGGGATAAAAAGTTCTGACTTTAGCTTTCTTTGTAGATGGAATCAAATTCTGCTGTCGATTATCAATAGGTTGCCTGCAAATCTCCAAAACGCCTTTGAGGATTAAAAAAAAAAAAACGACAATCAAGGAATAATAGCCTTTTGCTTTTATGTGTAAAAGTCCAATTGAAATATTTGGGACTTGCAATACACTTGCCTCTTCCTTTCATAAAAAGAAAAAAGAAAACCCAGTTGATTCTGGACTTCTCCAACAGTGAAAGATCATGGTTCTTTCCATCAAGGGTGGAATATGCTTGTTTGAGGTTTGAAAAGCTCGTGCCTTGCATCTTAGTGGGACTTCATCTCCTGAGCCATCCCATCAACAACGAGACCTACTCTCTTGGAAGCACCTCTTGGCTCTTGTGAAATGCTGCATGTTTCCGATGTTCTTGAGACTTGGTCTCCTTAGTCTTCTGGGGAGATGTTCTGTGATTATTTGCCATCTTATCCAAGAGGTTTTAGTAGCCCTTTTCTCACTCAGTCCCCCTCAGATATCTTGGACACCAAAATAAGCTGGCTGGGAATTGCAATGCCTAGTCCTCAAATGTCCATGAGAAAGGCCACCTTGGAACAACGTTGATGAGGAGCAGAGCTCTCTGAGACGCTGCACTTTTAATCCAGTCCCTCTGCACCAGTTTTACCTCATTAGAATCAGATAGATGTAGAGAGATCTAGAGAATATAATTGTGTGTGTATGTTCACAGTGAATGTGTGTGTGTTTGTATGGGTGGATTGTTTCCTTTTTCTGCCCCGTTTTGGGGTGGATTGGCATTACCACAATGTGCCTTATTGTACAGCCTTGTTTAATCTACAAGCATTTCTTTCTTCTTCGGTTTAAGGTTCTTTATAGGTTGATGGCTAAAGCTAATGCTGAGTCTCCAATCTGGGTTCTTGTGTCGTTAGCATTCCTCTTCTTCCTAGCTATTGGCCAAGCTGGTTAGGTGTTCTGGGAGTTGTAGTCCAGTCTTTTTTTAGGGAGCGCTTCTATCCTGCGGTGTACCAAATGCTGATTTGCTTCAGTGTTTGCTGGCTGCATCAATTTGAATTTGAGCCTTCTTTGAGTAGAATAAGTACCTTTGTCTTTGAGTGGAAGAAAGGATGACCGTGAGATTATTTAGGGAGCAAACACTGTTAAGTAGAGCTAGATAGAGCTAAAATGTTTCTGCAAGCCAATGGACAAGATTGTTGTATCTCACTGTGTGATGTGCCTTATTTTTTTTTACAACTGTTGCTTTTACAACTGATGGACAAGTTATGGTTCTTTACTGTAAAACTTAATGTTGTTCTGCACCTCCATTGGTCCAAAGTGTAGACTGGAGAAAATTACATATGTTCTTGAAGAAGTTGTTCCTCGGACATAGGACAAAAATGGGAAGAAGTCTCTTTTTTCTAGGATATTTAACAATCTGGGAAATGCTTCACTGTGTCCTGTTCTTTATTTAAAGCACAAAGCTACAGAAAGGGATCGATGCAGACTTAACTGTTTTATTTCACATTAAAAGAAAGCTTTTCAAAATGGATTGAAACTAATCAGCTCAATTTTACTTCTTACTGTGTTTGTATGTATATAAAGATTGTATTTTTTTAAATGCTGTAAATAGCTTAAATGCGAGAAAACTATTCCAAACATAATTCCTACCCATATTTCTGCACCCCCTTTTTAAATTTTTCATTGGAAAACTGAATGAAGTGGAAATGTCTGATGATTCTTAATCTGTTATTAAACTTGTTTTTTTTTAAATGGATGATTCATTTTAATTCATTATGTTCTTTGGGGTTGAAATATTTTCTTTTAGATCAAGGGTCTTCAAACTTGGCAAGTTTTAAGACTTGTGGACTTCAACTCCCAGAATTCCTGAGCTAACATGACTGGAGGAGGAATTCTGGGAGTTGAAGTCCACAAGTCTTAAAGCTGTCAAGTTTGAAGACCCCTGTTTTAGATGAAAAGCTGGCCTGAGTAAGATCCTATAAACAACGAGAACCTCAAAACAGAAGAATAGTGTCAAGATTACAAGAATTGATGCAGGAAGTCCCCGATTTATGGCCACAACTGAGCCCAAAATTTCCACTGTTAAGTGAGACAATTGTTCAGTGAATTTTGCTCCTTTTATGATATTTCTTGCCACCGTTGCTAAGTGAATCAATAAAGCTGTTAAGTTAATAACATGACTGTTAAGTGAATCATTGACATTGCTTGTCAGAAGGTCATAAAAGGGGATCACGTGGCCCCCGGGACACTGCAACCGTCATAAATACGAATCAGTTGCCAAGCGTCACATGACCACGGGGATGCTGCAACGGTCATAAGTGTGGAAAATGGTCATACTTTTTTCAGTACTGTTGTAACTTCGGTCATTAAATGAACTATTGTAAATCAAGGACTATCTATAATATCACTTTATACAGTACGAGTGAAGTCACATGAAATATTGCATATGATTTTGGTCACTACGACCCAAAAAACGATGCTCGGAGCCTAGAAAGTGTGCAGAGAAGAGCAACAAGAATGATAAAGGGTGTGGAGCAACAGATGCTTTCACTGTATGTATGAGTCCAAAAGGGACACAGTGGCTAAGACGCTGAGCTTGTCGATCAGAAAGGCCAGCAGTTCGAATCCCTAGTGCTGCCTAATGGAGTGAGCTCCCATTCCTTGTCTCAGCTTCTGCCAACCTAGCAGTTCAAAAGCATGTAAAAATCAAGTAGAAAAATAGGGACCACTTTGGTGGGAAGGGAACAGTGTTCTGTGCGCCTTCGGCACCTTCCACATGACCACGGAGACGTCTTCGGACAGCGCTGGCTCTTTGGCTTTGTAATGGAGATGAACACTGCCCCCTAGAGCCGGAAACAACTAGCACATATGTGCGAGGGGAACCTTTACCTGTACTTTATGAGTCCAACTCTTCTGAAGCTAATATTTCCTCCATAACCATCCCAAGGAATGGATTATATATCTTTCCCGTGCATTTGGCGACTTCTAGATCTACTTTCAGAATTACAAGAGCATTCCTGAAATTCTACAGTTCCATAGTCTGACATGCCCTGGGATGCATAAATGAAGGTACATTTTTTAAACAGTACCTCCACTGAGATACAACTTGTTTAATCTTTGTTCAGTTCATTTGGTGGATTCTTTAGATCACAATGCATATTGAAAGCTCAAATACCATGGGTGCATTGGTAAGTATGGAGGATGGAGGGATGGAAGGAAAATTGAGGGATGGATATAAATTGGATGGATGGATGGATAGATAGAAATGGAATGGATGGAAATAAAATAGATGGACAGTTGGTAGATGATAGATATTGATATAGACAGATTTAGACAGATAATGAATGGCTAGCAATAGCAGTTATACTGAACTACTGCTTTACAGTGCTTTTACAGCTCTCTCTAAGCGGTTTACAGAGTCAGCATCTTGTGCACAACAATCTGGGTCCTCATTTTACCCACCTCAGAAGGATGGAAGGCTGAGTCAATCCTGAACCCATAAGAATTGAACTGCCAAACTGCTGGCAGCCGGCAGTCAGCAGAAGTAGCTTGCAGTACTGCATTCTAACCACTGCACCACCATGGCTCATAGAAAATGGATGGATAAATAGAAAATGGATGGATGGATAGAAAGAAAGATAGATAGATAGATGATAGATAGATAGATAGATAGATAGATAGATAGATAGATAGATAGATAGATAGATAAGAGAGAGATAAATGATAGACAAATGATAGATAAAGATGTCTGGATGCATGGTTAGATAGATATTCTGTCCCATTTTTAACAGATTGGCATGACTATAAGATACCTACAGAAATCTCTCTTAAGTTGTAGACAAAAAAACCCTCAAAATGTATATCTCCTGTAGTCCACAATGTGCACTGCTGTGTTCTTGCACTTGGGGCACTGGGATAAATAACACAAGTGTTTCAATTTTGTTCAAAACCCTGGCAGGGTCAGAGAACTGAAGCTAGGGCTGTATATATTTTCAGTGGCTTGCTTTTTAATGAGTACTTCCACACTAATCATGTTTGCCTTCTTCCAGCTTTTGCTGTGCATATATATCACTAATGAAGGCTAGTTTTGCGGTGCCACAAAGCTGGCCGGGCAAAGCTATAAATTGCTAGTGCAGAAATGTTCAATGTGTTCATTTTACACTCGGCTTCCTCTCCTGCTGAGCTGCAGAATAAGAGAGCTGCTGGGCCGAGGAAGTAGCCATGCAGAGACCTCGCACTGATTGAAAAACCACAGATGCTCACTCTCTTGGTTAAAGTTAGACGAGGAAAAGAACTGTCCAGCAACAGATTATTCAAGTGTAAAATAGGCCACCGTTGGTGTGTTTGAAACGAGAAGAAAAACGTTCCAGGTTGTGAGATGAATTTTCCTGCAGAAAGATTCACCGATGAATTGACCTGAATTATTGATGAATTGATGAATTACTATTACTATTATTCTTCTCATCACTCCTTATGACCCATCCCCTCCCACTTGTGACTGTATGACTGCAAATTTGTCACTTGTATCCTTAGGATTTATATTTACTGTTTCCTAATATGATTTGACTGCTTATTGTTCCCTATGACTATTATTCTTGACAAACGTATCTTTTCTTTTTATGTACACTGAGAGCATTTGCACCAAGACAAATTCCTTGTATGTCTAATCATACTTGGCCAATAAAGAATTCATTCATTCATTCATTCATTCATTCATTCATTCATTCATTCATTCATTCATTCATCTTGTTTTCTTTCGGGATGTTTCCTGTCTTCTGGCCTACAGCTCTTGGGTGTTTCTGATGTTTTGTTTCATCCAAATACAAACCAAGAAGAACCCAGTCCAGATTCTCTTTGGATCCCAACCTAGGTGTTACTGCTTGCTCAGCAGGGCCCACAACATGACTTTGTAAAAGGAAGTGGTGGCTGAGGCTAAAATGACTCTCTCAGATAATGCTCAGACCAAAAGGATGACATGTTTTGACTTCAGTTGGAGACCGGAGATTCCATTTCATGCTAGACTTTTCAGTCCCTTGAATGAGTACTCACAATCGCTGTACAGACCCCTAATCATCTTGGTTGCTCTTCTCTGCACTCTTTCTAGAGCCTCAACATCTTTTTTATAGTGTGGTGACCAAAATTGGATGCAGTACTCTAGGCGTTGTCTTACTAAGGCTTTATAGAGTGGTAGTAGTACCTACCTTGATCTTGATTATATCCCTCTGTTAATGCAATTTAGGATTGCATTAGCTTTTTTGGCTGCCACCGCACACTGCTGGCTCATATTTAGCTGGTTGTCCACTAAGACTCCAAGATCCCTCTCATAGTTACTGCTATTAAGCCTGGTTTCACCCAGTCTATATGTGTGCTTTTGGTTTTTCTTGCCTCAGTGTAAAACTTTACTTTTCTCTACAATTAATTTCATTTAGTTAAATAGGGCCCAAGTCTGTCAAGATCCTTCTGGATCTTGAGCCTATCATCCAGCGTGTTGGCTATTCCTACCAGTTTAGTATCATCCACAAATTTGGTAAGTTCCTCTTCTATTCCCTCATTTGGGTTTTTTCCCCCAGAATCCTGTGCACTGTCTGCATATCCATGGGAAATGTGTTGCCTGTGCTCAGACAACTAAGCCGTGCGATAAGACTGAAAGGAATAAACCTTGGGTGGGTAGTGGAGGGGAGAAATATACTGCTTTGGATTGAGGCCATGAAGGAAATCTGGATTCTCTGGTGACAAAAGCTGAAAATCCAGTTCTTTTGCCTATGCTACAGATGAAATCCCTCCCTCTGCATCTCCCTCTCCCTCATTGATCGGCCTGCTGGCACCGATGCAAACTTGCTGGGGAACAGAGAGAGAGAGGGAGGGAGAGGGAGGGAGAGGCTCACAGGGCCAAGGGTGGAATTAAAGATTACATCGAAAGATTAATGGTGCCTCGGGAGGGCCAGGAGATTATAGGGAGAGCTCTGTGCCTGGGGTGTCGGTCAAACGGGCCAGGTCTGGGCATTATCTTCACGTGCTGCGCTGCTGCAAATCATTCTGTAAGGGACATTGTTCCCCATTCCTCTTTTGCAGATAAAGCCAGAAAGTGGGGGGAGGGATAATAAACCACAGTCTTTAACCGGGAATGTCTGGTTTAATGAAGAAAGGAGTAGGGGTAACATGCAGAGGTGGTATTCAGCCGGTTCGGACCGGTTCTGGCATACTGGTAGTGGAAATTTGGAGTAGTTCGGAGAACCGGCAAATACCGCCTCTGGATGGCCCCACCCATCCGCCGTTACTTCTCCTATATTCCCTTGGTTGTTGTTTTTTTAGCACAGCTGATTTGCATGGCAGAATGGGTTGACGGGCCTCAAAAACAGCTCAGCTCACCGGCGTTGACAGAGGTCGGTCTTTTGAGCCCTGCGTGCACGCGCGAAGCATGCGTGTGCATGCAAAGCCTGTACGCCGCATAGAACCAGTAGGAACAAATTTGGAAACCCACCACTGGTGACAGGATAGCAGTCTTCCAATATTTGAGGGGCTGTCAGAGAGAGGAGGCGGGGGGTTTCAATCTATTCTCCAAAGCACCTGAAGGCAGGGTTAGAAATCACAGGTGGAAGG